ACTGTCTTGAAGTTGTGGTATGCTACTAGTGTCTTGCACTGTGAAGACTGATGTAAAGTACCTATTCAGTTCCTCTGTCATTTCTTTGCTCCTCATTACTACTTCTCCAGACTTATTTTCCAGCGGTCCAACATTGACTCTTGCCTCTCCTTTACGTTTTAGATATCTAAAAAATTCTGGTAATCTTCTTTTATATTTCTAGCTGGCTTACCCTCATATTTCATCTTCTCCCCTATACATCCCTTATTGCTTTTTTAGTTGTCCTCTGCTAGTTTTTAGAAGGCTTCCCTATTCTCTGGCTTCCCACTAATTTTCAGCTCATTGCATGCTTTTTCTTTTGTCTTTATGCTATCCCTGACTTCACTTGTCAGCCCTGGTTGCCTTGTTCTCTCCTTAACATGTTTCTTCTTCCTTGGGATGAATTTCAGCTGTGCCTTCCAAATGATCCCCAGAAAAACTTGCCATTGCTGCTCCACCATCTTTCCTGCTAGGCTACACTTCCAATCAACTCCAGCCAGCTCCTCTCTCCTGTCTTTGTAGTTACCTTTACTCAATTGTAATAGCATTACATTTGATTCCACCTTCTCTGTCTCAGACTGCAAGGTCAATATTATGGTCACTTCCCCTTAGGGGTTCCTTCATCTTAGGCACCCTAATCAAGTCTGCTTCATTACACATCACCAAATCCAGAAATTTATGTTCCCTAGAGGCCAAAAAATCCATCTCGTTGACATTCCACGAATTCTTTTTCTTGAGATCTAACACCAATCTGATTTTTCCAGTCCACTTAAATATTGAAATCCCCCATGATTATTGTAATAGTGCCTTTCTTACATACCTTTTCTATCTCCTGATTTAATTTTCTTCCCCACATCCTGACTATTGCCAGAGACCTGTACGTTATTCCCATCAAGATCTTATTTCCTTTGCAGTTCCTCAACTCTACCCATTACAGATTCTACGCCTTGCAATCCGAAATCACTTTGTGCTATCAATTTTGTTTCATTTCTTACTAACAAGGCAAACACAGCCACTCTGCCTATCTTCCTGTCCTTTCAATAGGACTTGTATCCTTGGATATTCAGTTCCCGGCCCTGATCCCCTTGCAGTCAAATCTCTGTGATACCTACATCATCAATTTCAATCTGCACTACAAACTCATTTACCCTCTTTTGTCTACTGCACATATTTAAATACAACCCCCCTCAGTCCTGCATTGACCACCCCCATTCTCATAGTTGTCCCCTTATCTGCTGTGCCTGAAGTTAAATTCCTGGCCCTTTTCCATACTTTCTGTCCAAATACTTGTTGTGAAAACTTTCATAACCTCTTCTGAGGCCTCACCCTGCCCCCCTTCACCTTCACTAGTTTAAACTCCTTGTGACTACCCTACTTAGCCTCCCCACTAGGATTCTGGTCTCAGTTTGGTTCAGGTGAAGCCCATCCTGACAGTACATTTCCCTCCTGTCCCAATACTGATACCAGTGCCCCATGAGATGGAACCCCTCTTTCCTACACCACCTCTTTAGCCAAGTGTTAACTTCCTTAATCATCTTATTTCTTTACAAATTTGTACGTTCTCAGCTAATAATTCAGTGATTATAACATTAGTGGTTCTGTTTCTTAATTTTGTTCCTAATTCCTGAAAGTTCCCAATCAGGACCTATTGCTTACTCTTGCCCATGTTGTTGGTGCTAACATGGACCACAACAACTGGATCCTCTCCGTCCCTCTCCAGTTTTCTTTCAAGCTGACTAAAAGTATCCCTCACCTTGGCACCCAATCGGGAACTCTCAATCCTGCTCACAAAGGATGCTATCTGTTCCCCTGATTATAGAAGCCCCTCTCACTATCACTCTCCTTTGTGCTCCCTCCACTTGTACAGCTTTCTGGCCCACGGTGCTGTGGCCTGCTTGACCATCCTCCCTGCAGACTTTTTCCTCAGCCGTACACGAGTAGCTCAGACATGTCGGACAAGCTCAAGAGCTGAGAGTCCTCCAATTCTATGTTCAGGATCCCTTTACCTGTCTCACTTGTTGTCACACCCTCGTGTCCCTGACCCAGTGGCCAAATTTGAAATACTTAAGGTACAGGGTGTGACTGACTGGAACACATCGTCAATGTAACTCTCCCCCTCTCGCATGTGCCGCAGCGTCTGCAGCTCAGATTCCAGTCCATCGACTCTGAGCCAAGGTCCCCTGAGCTGCAGATTCTTAGTGTGGATGTGATCATAATGGTTCACAATGGGATTCACGAGCTCCCACATCATGCAAGAACAATATATCGCCTGTACTGCCTTTTCTAACATTGTTTATTATATTTTATTCATTTTTAAAACCTATTAGTCTCGGATGGTCCCTAAATTATTATACTCCCTCCTGAATCTACTACTATTTAAGGCTAGTCCCTAATGTATGCCCCTTATCAGCCAATTAGACCACAGATTCTCTGTGACATCAGTTTCACCGCAGGCATTGCCCTTGCTCCCACTCAGGAGAGTCTGAACACACTCACTGCTCCACCCAGACTGCTTCACCCTGACACCGACTGTGAGGGCACTGATCCCAGAATGCTTCGTGACACTGACTGTGATGACGCCCTTCCCAGAATGCCTCACCGTGACACCTACTGCGAGGGCACTGATCCCAGAGTGCTTCACCATGATACTGACTGTGAAGACACCCTTCCCAGACTGCTTCAACATGACACCTACTGCGAGGGCACTGATTCCAGAATGCTTCACCATGACACTGACTGTGAAGACACCCTTCCCAGACTGCTTCAACATGACACTGACTGCGAGGGCACTGATACCAGAATATTTCACCGTGACACTGACTGTGAAGATATCCTTCCCAGACTGTTTCACCATGATACTGACTGTGAAGACATCCTTCCCAGAGTGCTTCACCCTGACACTGACTGTGAGGGCACTGATCCCAGAATGCTTCACCGTGACACTGACTGTGATGACGCCCTTCCCAGAATGCCTCACTGTGACACCTACTGCGAGGGCACTGATCCCAGAATGCTTCACCATGACACTGACTGTGAAGACACCCTTCCCAGACTGCTTCAACATGACACTGACTGCGAGGGCACTGATACCAGAATATTTCACCGTGACACTGACTGTGAAGATATCCTTCCCAGACTGTTTCACCATGACACTGACTGTGAAGA